CTCTCTCTCTCTCTCTCTCTCTCTCTCTCTCTCTCTCTCTCTCTCTCTCTCTCTTTCTCTCCCCCTTCCTCTGTCTTTGTCTCTGTCTCTCTCGCTCGCCTTCTTGCTCACTAGCTTTCTCGCATATGCATACATGTGTACATATATATATGCATGCTTGCATATATACACATGCATGCATATATATCACATATGTGTATATGTAATATATATGTAAAATATGCATATATATATATATACACACATGTATATGCATATATATATATATATATATTTGTGCGTATGTGTGTTTCAAATTGATTTTAAATTAGGTAGTAGGCAATATCGTGCATATTTACAATTTCGTATCGTTTCCATGGCAGTCTATAAATATTCTTTACAGCATCAGCTAATTCGTAGCATTTTTCACGTCTTACGATTTACCCATTTTTCAAAAACACATTCGAAAAGTGTCTTGTGATTTTTTCGTAAAAAATCAAGTTCGGAATGTCCATGTGGAAAATAAATTTTATCCGTTACTTGAACTGTTTTCTGCAGCTGCAAGCTGATATTTACCGAATGCAAGAATTCGCGTGAGTAAATCGTTGACCCGTTTGCAATTTCAGGAAAAGTTTCGAAATAATCCCCGCAGAAGACAATGAGAACAAATCGCCGGTATTTCACCAAGAGGATTGCCTCGGGTTAGCGTCATGGTGCGTACAACCACTTTACTGCTACGCTTATCGCCGTCTCTTTGAACTTCGACAAAATAAACACAGACGCGAGGAGCCTAGTACAATAGCAAGATGGTTGCTGGGTGCATTGTTATTGAATCCAGATGTCACGACGTTCTGGAACATGCGACGGGAGCTAGTACGGAATCACAAGTTGGAAGCATCTGAAGAATTCTTTTTCTCCCGGCTGGTGCTTTATCATAAGCCGAAATGCTTCGAGGTGTTCGCCTACCGACGGTGGTTATTGTCGTACATACTGAACGCTAAGGATGGACGTTACGACCCGGAATCAGTGGAATCGCCTCTTTGTACAGAATTGGATATAGCAACGACGTGCGCGGACAGATATGCGAGCAACTATCATGCTTGGAGTCATAGACGTCATGTAATGACTCTCCGTGAGTCGCGAGGATTTGCTTATCCGAGCCTGGAATCGGAATGGAAGAATTCGCTCACTTGGTGTCAACGGCATGTGTCGGATTACAGCGGGCTATCCTATCGACAGTTTCTGCTAAAGAAGTACATGTTCGAGTCGAAGGAACTGCCGAGGGAATGGTTTCTAAAGTGTCCGGATGCCGGAGAGCAATGGAAAGAGGAACTATTCGCTTATATTAAATCGAACATCAGTGATACAGGGGACACGCATCAACTGCAGAGGTTATTCGATGCAGCGAACGCGGAGTCAAGAGCGGCTTCGAGAACGAAGCAACACGCGTATTTCCGTGCTTTGTCATATTGGTTGGAAGAATGCCGCGCGAACGACAGTGCCATCTGCACGTACGACGATCATGAGGCTCTTTGGTGCCATCGTAGATTCCTCGCGTATCTTCTCGTGTGTTTCATGGCGTCGAAGTATTCCTGCCACGGGGATGAACACGATGCCGACGGCCGATCCGTTGACGAGTCGACCGAAGGGAAAAATGTTGAGAAAATGTCAACCACTTTGTTGAACGACGACGTGACGTTGTGCCACGATTTTCTCGTGCAAGCATTCCGCGCGCGCACTAACAAGATCGCTGATCTGGCTACCAAACGAGATCAACACGAAAAGATGCTGGTTAAGAGGTTCTTTAAATTTCTCCAGAGCATCGGGTTCGAGATCAGATCGTGATCTTGTTACGACGAGAATTTTACTTTGGAACGAAAGATAACGTATGCGTAATAAGACACATAATTCTATTCGTATCGGGGATAGTTTAATATGCCACTGTAAAAACCATGCAATAACTCTCTTATTCTGTATTACACGCAGACGTTATTCTTAGACGTATACTCTATCCATGAATTGTATCTCAATAGTGCTCTCTCGTCTGATTCGTTCGCGCGACGAACTCTGTGCGCGTAAATCAGTGCTGTCTACGAGAGGGGCCCCTTACGTGGCTTTGTTCCCCTTTATATGTCATCGCTGTAAGAGCAAAGAGAGCTAGAAAACAGATTAACGAATCTAATGTGATTTGCCTCCTCTCTTTCTCTCTCTCTCACACTTTTTTTCTCTCTCTTTCTACCTTGCTCATAAAACAAATGGCTATAGACGAGAAGTGTATAGCACGTGTGATAGAGTGTGAAACGCTCTGCATACCGTAGAGCTGAGATTGGACAGCACTGTCAAATGATATAGTATCGTTTTCGATAACGCAAGATATAATGTACAACGTAGATGAAAATGGAATGAGTATCGATACTTATTTTTGAGACATTTACCGTGTATTGTTTAAGGAAATTTTCAATAACCGAATGCGATATGTTGTATCGTGACGATTAACTGAGAAGATAAATCGAAAATTGAACAACGTTTGATTTTCTAAACGTTGTTCAGCGTTCGAGAGTACAAGTACACTATAATTGAGTGGTAAAAAAGGAAAAGTGTCTTTTGAGGCTATAGGGAAGTATTATCGCGGAATAAATGTGTATAGTCGGACGTTGATAAAGTATGAAATGAAAGAAGAAAAAAAAAATGTTAGTTTTGTAACCATGTGTTTTTAGTCACCTTATAGAATAGCGGCGGCCTGTGAACGCAGGCCGTTTACATCGTCAGGCCAATTGTTTTGACGCCACTAGTACGTATGCGACATTGGCCACGTTATCCTCCTTTGGCACGACAATCTGACCAAAAATAAACCTTTAGACTTTTGACTGAATTTCTCGTCAGTCTACCGGGAACGGTCGTTAAACGCGTGCGATCGTCAGATTTCTCGTCCACCAAGTCCTATAACTTCCGTTTCATTGTTACATGTTAATAAAGTTCAGTGAACCCTGTCGACAACAATTTTCGTATTTTCTTGCATTCTTCATCGATGCAATTACGCCCTTGGTATATGCGTGTATGTTTCTTCGTAAAACGGACTTGGCCCTAATGCAACGTCCCGCTTGTCTTGACCTTAATCTTCCAATACCCTTCAACTTCTAGAATTAATGCTCACATGGACGAGAGAACGTAAAATCTGTGAAATTATACGTTTTTCAATGCTATACCTACAAACGTGAAAGTTTCGTCAATATTCGTGAAATCATTTCGAACGAGATGTATCGCATATTTATCTTCCCTGGAACATTGGTTATACTATGCGTCGTAAAAACATAGTGGTATTAGTAACCAAAAATGTCACTATCATCTATAACTAGAGGTAATTAGATTAACGATAAATATCGCAATTTAATATTTACAGGAGATAATTTTAATTATTCGAGTGAAAGTTAATATCGTCTTCTCTATCGATATTTAGTATCGATCGATACGTGATAATTATTGTAGGTCGGTAATAAAAGATATGACATTCATCGACTAAGCAATCGATCGATAAGTTCTCACGAATCTTGTATATACATTGGCATGGGTTCATCTAGAGTGACAAGAATCGTGCAAAACTTGTATCCTGTATTAGGTATAACATTGTCTACGGATTACTCTTAATATATTTGTCGAAACTCGCACGTGACTATTGTCTATTACGTTCATTGGTCGATCAGTTCGATTGTGCTACGAAGTACGACGAGTCGGTCGATAGGCATCCTCAGAAATTCCACTAGTACGGTACATCGAAGAAACGACGCGACGAGGTGTGCAGTGGCGGGTCGGACGAGTTGTTTTCCTCCGTTTGTTTACCAAAAATCGAATAGATCGGAAGCCGAATAGATGGCTTCTGAAACTGGATCCACCATCCAGGGTAACCTCGATGATTTCTCCAAGCAAAGCCGAATCCAAATCGTTCAAAACAAAGGTAAGACAAACCTTTTCTGTTTATCGAATTATTTACAGTAAGTAGTTATTATTTTATGGAATAATTCATTTTTTTGCAATTTTCTAGAAGGTTATAATATCTTCATTGTTAATATGTATAGAAGCCGATGGAGTATAGGTGGTTTTTCGTTGATATTGGTAGATAAGTAATTACTATTTTATATCGATGTTATATATCGCTCGAGTATTTATAGCTTGCGTTGTAAATGCACCTTAGATGGAAGCTTCGAGCGTTAACAGTAACCTTGATTTTTTTAAAATAAGCGAATTCGCTTATTTTTTATATATTTAATTATTTCCATCGAAGAGACTATACCCAGTTAAAGTATCTCGAAATATTAGTTATTCTGAAGTATCATATGGAATATTCGAATGATTAGCTTAGTAATATGGTGAGAATACGCGAAACATACTTTCTATTATAACGAAAATGGGCAAATCTTATCTTGTTGACTGCGTACGAGCTTTATCTATTCAATTATCTCGTCTTTGCTATATCTGATATACATTTTCATGGAATATAACGGTAATAATATACCATAATTATTATAACACAACGATAAAATATTTTCCTTTAAATTACCTCTTTTAATAATTACAGAATATACTTAAACGTAACGAAAGAGAAAAATTGCAACGAAGATAATATGAAAATTGGAATTCGATACGTTCATGGCAAAAATCAGCAGTAAAGATAGAGAGGTATCGAACCTTGACCTATTACCCAATTAACCGTGTATAGATTCACCATCATCCCTCTTGATCCTTTATTCATAGACAGGGTGGCATCTGTGAGTGAGTTCAAAGCGACGTCACGCTCCACTTAGCGTTCCCTTAGAATGTGTAAATTTTGTTCAAATAACAATTCACGTGGGGAAGAAGCTTGCCATGTTTCGTCAAACCGAGGAAAATCCCTTAAGAGGATCGATGCATCGCCAAGCAAGAGGCCTATGTAGTGTTCGTAAGAAATGCTCTGTTTAAACGTGCACGCAAAACGATAAAGTAGCCTTTCAACGGATTTCTGTAATGTTTCCTAGGATTATAAATCTCGATCCAAAGATGTAGACGTTAAGCCTCTAAGAAAATAAATGACTTCATTCATGTACGTTCTTTCAATCAAAGATAACGTCTTCAAGTACTCTTTGTGAAAGAAATGTCTTTATTTGAAATACTCGTAGATGATAATTAGTAGTAAATATATAGATTTGAATTGCAAACAAATTAAAGAATTTTGAAGAAAATTAAAGATTGAGAAGAAAACTAGGTCAGTTTTGAAATTTGGAAAGTTTCAAATTTCAGGAATTAGTGATGAATCTCTGGGATATTAAAAAGAATTGAATGATTTTATATATTTGTTTATTTATTACTGGAAAGTAGCTGTAATTTTTTATTTATATTTCACATACAGTTATGATCGTTTTTATCTTTGTCGCTTTCAGTGATTAGCCTTTTCTTGATTTTCTTGTTAGTAAATTAAAATTCTGTTATCTATAAACATTGTAGGTAATCTATAACGATTTAAAAATAATTTTCCAAGCATTATATACGACACATTACCTTGTTACCGTTTTACTAACATTCTACAATTAGGTTCGTTCTCTTAAAGATACCGTTTGCTTCGTGCGAATATGCATATCTATATGAGCAATACAAACGGAAGATAGATGCTCGAGAAATAACACTACTATCAGATGAACTTTAACCCTATGGTGATTGGCATCCATACCACTGTAATACTTAACAAACAGGAACTATTCATCCACCTTAGCTACAGAGGCTTGCTTATAAGCGAAATCAAATTTATTGCATCAGGGAAATACGCAAATATTTTTATTTATATTAAATTTTTTTTTAATTTCTACATAAGTCTGTAATAAAACGACGGTAATGAAAATACGATAATAATTGGATATTATAAGGTATCCAAAATTTCTCGTGACAAAGAGGAATGAAATATTGTATAATGCAAAAAATTTGTGGAATAATAAATTTTATTGCACAATTAAAATATGATACATATGATATAATTTATTCAATTAATATTCGAAGTTTAGAGCATTATCATGATTTCGCTAGTAAAAAGGATTATTCCATTTTTCGTTTACTAACAAACTTTTTTCTACAAGGGTTGCATTATTAAATTATTTTTTTCTAAATTCTACTTATTTCATATAAAAAATCTTATTTTATTAACTACGAAACTTCATATTAGATAAAAATAATTTCACTGTATAGTATTCTAAGAAAATTTAAAGAAAAAGAATTTCTACAAATATTCAAAATAAGAAAAGGAACAAAATAGATCAAGCGATGAATTCCTAGGTAACACCTAGTTTCTGTTCCTTAATCGTAGCAACGTTCACGCGTCGTCGCATAAATCTATTTTAATAGCTCCTGCCCCAAACAGTCTGACTGATTCCATATAAATGTGAAAATTTTCATTGCGATGCCGCCTGACAAACTATTTTTAGATCGGTTTAATCTGCTGTTGGCATGCTCATCGTAAACAGAGTGCAGAGTCCTTCGTGCAATGCGTTTCATTACGATCGTTGCGACGGATTACGCTCTGCCGCATCGCGATAAACAAATAGCTTATCCCGGTCACGCGTACTTTGGTAAAAAAACGCGTTGAAGAAGAACAAGCGGTGGACACCAGACCCACGTCCCCGTTTGGACCGATTAAAAATCGTTTCTGCGTAGAATCTGTCCTCCTTGTCACGAAATAACTCTGAACTCGCGACCTTCTCCGTGAGGAACGGACGTGCACATATGCGCTCACTTAATACTAATTGAGACCAAACTAACGAGCACACGGATAAAATGGAACTTGGACGTGCTATCAGTAGAGCTCTGACGATATTACGGTTATCGTCTCTCATGGATCCACCAATGGTCTTTTTCATTCTGTACACTTTTTCATTGTCAGGCCTGGCCACCTCACGACGTGTCGCGTTCTTGCTCACGGCTCTTGAGATGACTTTTATGATAAACGATGATGGAATAAATTTGCTGCTGCTGTTGCATGATTGCAAAGTTAATGGATTCTTCTTGGTGTAGATTTGAGAGGGCTGGTGTGATGGTCAGAGGGCTGTTGAAAAATGAGTATTTTTTAAGAACTGTTCTAGGGCTGGGATGTAGACTTACTGATTATTATTAAAACTATTAACTCGTGATGTTTAAATGTTACATACATTAATGATAATAACTGAAGTTGTAACAGAATTTTTATAATATTGTAGAATAATTCAAGTTGTAATAGAAATAGTCAGGTATATATGTTTACATTCCAGTATCAGGCTGCTTGTTTTTAATAAATACAAAAATAAAAAGTCTGGAACAAGACATTTTGATTGGTTTGATAATTCTAGCGTTTTCCACATTCTCATTTGAAATAGTATATTCTTCATTTCAGTGAATTGGACCTATCTCATTATAATTAATTCTTTCTTAAATATTTTTAAGTCTGTAGGAAGTTCTGACTCATAACTTACACATTTAATAGGTAATATGGACTTTTATAACCAGCGACACATCAGTTGTGTTATACGAATTTCTTATGTTTGTTTATACATATTTATATTTATTTACTTACTGCTTATATCTTCTTGTTTTTTGAGATATGTAGTAAGAATATTTTGTTAATTTTCAATATAAAGAGCCGATTCCACGTGAAAGTCGTTCTCGTCATTAGCTGAGTGCCATAGTATACTCTAGGAAAATAATTGTCTCCCATAAATTTAAAAGTCATACTACGTAAAAGTAACCTACTTTTACCTTAGTATGGAAAACTTCTTTATAAATTAACTCAGAACAAAAAATAAATCATTTTCTGGAATAGCTATGTTCTTCATGAGAACTTGCTTAATGTTATTTTCTGCTCGACACGATGAAACACAAGATCGTTGTTGGAGCAAGATTTGGCTAAGAAAAATCCAATCTTTTATCCCAAGTGATTGAAAAACTGGTTATGTGAGAGAAATCGGTTTCCTTGAGTAAATCTATCGGAAGTGTTACGATTGGAACCAGAGAGTTAGTTTAGCTATACACGTACGGAAGAGCAAACATTCCTTGAACCACTTAAATTGATCATATTTCGGCAACTTCGTTGGTCACCTATATTTGTTGGCCACCTGGATTATCAGAGTTGTCCGAATGAACAAGTTTAAACAGACAAGAATCACTCGTTTACAGATTTTATTCTAAACAGATAAATTTGACGGATATTCCAATATTTTATTGCATTTGCATGACATATTTATCGAATAGGTCTGAAAAAAGGAAAATAAGTGGTTGGCATATTCGTAGAGAAAATTTTACCCAGAATACATTAAAAGAAATAATAATTTGAAAAATTATTTTGTACCTTATAAATCTTTTTATCCTCTTTTATATATTTTTTCATATTTAAAAAAATATATGGTACGTATATGTATAAGCTCAAATTGATAGCTCCTATGGTTTCGAAAATTTTTTAAAATTCTTCCATCTGAGGTTCCCATAGGGTTAATTCTTTCGCTAAAACCATAAATATACGTTGTGTGTAATACACTTATAGTTTATTCTCATTCATTTTGTTCATTGGTATATTTATTTTATATTTAAATTATAACAATTTAAATATAATAATAATTATATATACCACGATTATTTATAATAACAATTAATAATGGTTGCGTGTATATTTTTTCGTATTAATAAAATTTACCTAAGAGTACCGCGGTGAAAGAGATAATATTTCTTAAGAAAGCAAGAGTGGTCCGTCAGTTTACGTTCGAAATTGTGGGAATTCCTCGTGGTTACAACATCGTGGAACTCCCTGGATATGACGAATTCTGGAAATAATTCTGAATCAAGCTAAATCCACAAAATCATACTTGTCGTAAACTTGTTCAGAGAAATGCGGCACTCCCGAGAAGGATGCGCGGCCCCTTGCCAAAAATCGTGATTGTCCTTGTACCTAAGTGAGATACTCAAGTTTTTAGTCGTTAGTCAGAGGCTCACCAAGTCGTTTTTCAAACGTTACTATATTGTTCCGGCACCTTCAACGCGAAGGAGAATAATCAGTGATTCATTCTTAACACGATTCGTGCCACGTGGATTGTCCATGACCTACGACATAAGTAATATTAGATAAATAAAACCAAAAGCAAAATATCAAAAATACAAGGACCATCAAATATGGAATTCTTGTAATATCATTCTTTATAAATTTCAGATTCTTCTAATATCTTTTATAGATTTCATATACTCGCAATACTATTTTCTGTAGATTTAGAATTCTTTTATTTTCTATCTCTATACGTATTTATTTCGTACTTTTTAAAATTTATATATTTACCTTATTTTCTACCTTTTGCATATTTTTTATATCCTGATTTTACATTCATTTTTACTCTTTTCCCTTCGTTTACATTACTTTTTGAACATTATCTATAGACTCATTTATACAGATATATCAATAAAAACTTTATCAAAGCTATTTTTCCTGCAGATTCGAAGCACCTTCGCTTTGGGAAAACGAAACGTGTTAATACAGCCGAGAAAATATACTCGTGTCATCGTTTCCGTCTCTTGGAATCTTTTTTAAAAAAAAAACTCGTTCAACAACTTTGTTTCATTTTTCCTTCGTTTATCTTTGTTTTTACACCAATCGTCAGGATCATTTCCAATGCCGCTGCGAATTGATCAGATACGAGGTAAGCCAGCCCGAATATGCATGAGCAGACTGCGTTGATTTGATTACAGAAGCATGTCTATAATACGCTCACGTAACTTATGAGAAACCGAAGACATAGTACACTAATACTAAGGTTGACGTAATGCAAGACGGTTTTAAACGAATTAAAGCAGTGTCCTCAAGAATAGACAAGAATCGTGTCTTTCTTAACATCACCACACCTGTTTCTTAAACACCAGTCGACGCTTATTCAGCGAACCTTCCGTTTGCATTAGACGTTCGTGATTTTCTCGTTTATCGTTTATTGGGCTATTTGTTTGCGTTCGCTCTTCATTAATGTTTCCCGAGGAAAGTAACGCGTACATCCGATAACAATGTCAGCACGAGGATACTCAGGTGATAAACGTCACAGCTTTTTAAACATGTTCGTGGAAGGAATGAAACGATTATAACGGTTGTGACCTGTTAAATATATTTATAAATATTGCCCGTCACATGAACCTAAATTTCGTTTGGACTATGAACCACTGTTTACGTCCTTATAATTTTCTCTGATTTATTTTTTACGTTGAAGTTGGGCAGTGTCGAATCTTCAGTAAATTTGAGAAATAAATCATTATTCTCGAATAGCGATTACGTATGTTCCTTATAATGCCGATAACGAGTGCTTTTGATAACTGTAATGCAAAGTGTGTCGTTTAAATCATATGTTTGATATATTCTCGTTAGTTTAAACGAAATAACGGAAAAAATGAGATAAATGTTCCAAAAATAAATTCATTTGCATCAGTACTTTGTTTTCGTATTTCGTATTTTAAAACGCCGGTTTTTGTCCAAAGATGGGTAAAATGTTGACACAGTATTATCAGGACACGTGGGACTGCCTCATCAGCTGTAAAAATATACATATGTGCAGTATTGAGAAACACACGAATTTATTATAAAAAATATCGACAGAGTTTTACGAAAATATAACTCGATCATAGTATTTTTATTTTATAGTAAACAGCTTGTTTAAATTAAATGAAAATTTTTAATGATTCATTGGGTTTGAGTGCTTTCAATATCGAATTCATTATGCAATGATTACTCGAAACATATAAATGTCATTCATATGTACGCCGCTGTTGTAAAACTAACCTAATTTTAATCTAATAACCTAAAGAAATCTAGTTTGTCACTTGTTTCGTGTCATATCAGTAATCATTTATGTAGAATCGTCAAAATAGTACACTCTCAATCTATTTATTTACCTCTCAGTTTCATTGTGTATCGATTCAGTTTATTTGTGTTTGTTTATATTTTCAATTTCTTGAATTGTGTCGTGTATTGTGTATTACACCGTCGACTTGTCTATTTTCATTTTCGGTTTGTTTGTTTCTATTCCTCTGTTTGTTTACATTTTGGATGTGTTTTTATATTTCCATTTATTTGTTCATATTTGTGTACATCGCAGTGACATGAAACAGTCGTATACGCAGCACGTATACCATCAATGGAATACGATGTATTCGCTACTTTTTACGATAGAATATACCAACCTATAATATTATTACATTTTTTATGATAATATAATTGTTTATGCTTAGAAATTCAAACAAATAAAATAAAATATTGAAAATATACCATGAGTGTTATATGCAGCACGTGCTAATAATAATTCGAAAATTATTTTCAGTATACAGAAATCCAGAAAGCAAATAAAAATCTGAAAATAAAAAAAAATATAACAAACCGTTTTCATAACCAGAAATACATTTTGAAAATAAAAAATTTTTATTTTTTTTAGATAGTGAACTAGGCGCGCCAATAAGACGAACTGGCTCTCTCAGGCTACCGAAATCATCGGACTCGAATATCGTCGATCATAATCGATTGTACGTATCATCATTCGATGGAAAATCATCAGTGTCCATGACATGGACACCAGATAAAAGCGATGATACACCAGTCCGGCCCGCTAGGCACTCCGCACCTGCGATCGACGCACCTGCGCCGGAATACCTCGCCAGAAATCTTTTGCAACTCGGCTGTCCGGTCGTGTCAATGCCCACGTAAGTCTCTCTGATCTATCGCGTGTACACTCGTAACGGTTCAGTGGATCCCTCCGGATACATCCGTGTCAGAGATAGCGATTTCCGCAAATGTAATCGTCTCTGTGTTCCCTCTCTCGCACGGGGAATAGGAATACTGCGCATTTTGTTGCGGGAGGCTGGCCATCGGGTGGTGTGTAGGGTGTGTTACCATAAATATAGGACAACTTTTCGTAAAATGAATTTTGTGAATAATTTGAAAGATCAAGTATCGTGATAACTGAAAAAGGTAAAACGATAATATGCCTTATTGTGCCTCATTTACATCATGCTTTATTTCCATATGTTACATGCCATTTTCGTTCTTGCTTGTATTCGATATATTTCAGTAATCGTTCATCTGAAATGCCAAATTTGTATGTGAAATTTAGTTACCGGATATATAAATTTTATCGTGTGAAACGTGTTTAGTTTGTCGATGATACGAAATTGAAGTAACAAAACGAATCACAAAATTTTGATTCAGTCGTTGAGCGCATCATCGGTGCATCGAACATCTTCGTTCGCTCAGGAGCCATGATACTCTTGTTACGCTACTGTCAGCCATGCGATGAACACCGGTAGTCCCTTAATGAGGAAGTTATTTTTATTTCGCCAGCCCATGAGGCAATTAAACGTTCACCGTAAACATGTACGAGCGCGAGACTGCGCACGTGTATCGCTCTGTTTCACTCGTGTTATTACAGTTATCACGCGGCGGAAAGAGACGGAAGTAGATTGGGTTAGTCCGGGAAACACATTCGCGATCAGCTGACCGGCACCATGATCCCTCTGCCGGCCGTTTTTCAGAGGTACCAGTGGGTGCAGCGATGCGATCACAGCGACTCTGTGTGAGTCGTACACATGTTCGCATGCACAGATCTGTGCACACGCGTCCACGAAGCAAGCGAGCTATATAGCTATACAACCAGCAGCGTGGTATTCGGTCAATAGCTGGCAGGACTGGCGCAGACGCGCCGAAACAGCTGAGTGTGCGTTCATGTACATCCAATGGTGCTGTACCATTGGTGTACATCCGCGAAAGTGTCGTCGAGTAGCGAGGAGTCGCACGAGTGCGGACTGCAGCACGTTCCACACACCGCATTGCCGTATTTTCACTGCGAACTTCTGTGGAACATACGGTCCACGTTGTCTACTTTCTTATTTTATTTCAAGAACTGACCGAAGAAGGTTCGTTTATTTTCGATACGTTCTCGCTTCATCGAGATGAGGAAAGTCGGTGCATCGTGTTAGAAGAGGCAATCTTCGAAAAGTGAACTAAACCATCGATTGTTATTTCGAAAAAACGAAAGGAAACCGGGGCGGGGAGGGGGGCAATTCGTAAAAGAACAAGTATTCATATGTTATCCGATGAAAGTCTCATTGATCTTCCGAGCTGTTTCTCGGGGAGAAATGATGCTGCGACCGTATTGACCGAGCGAGTTTCCGGGTCGTTTGAATTTTTCTACGGAAAGTTATCAAGGCCCCCAATGCCATGCACAATGAAGAACGGAAGGAGCACATAGGAAGTCTAAAGTAATTGAAGTGGCGGCTCGTGGGAGAAGACCTAATTTCGAGTCAGTTTTTGCATGTGACAGTGTAGCCGTAACGTGGGACAGTGGCGCCCCTCTATTGGACTGCTAGCTACGACAATACTCATCGCAGGTGTGACTTTTAAAAACTCGTTTCTCGTCTCATCTATTAACTTCTGAATCATATAACGGTATCGTGAACTATGTATTTCAAGATTCCATGGAAATTACGAAATCGCAGATCAATCGGTATATTCGTTAATTATTACTCAACTCTATTAAAATCGAGTCTTTATATTACGCATGAAAACAAACTTTCTTCCTATTTATCTCGACTATTATCATTTCGAGATTTTACGTCACTCGAGAGAAACGAGTACCTGACGCACGTGAATCTTGCACAAGGTTAAACACATCATTCACGTATGTGGATGATTTCTTTCCTGTTACAACAATTTAATATAAGATTGCATTATTCTGTTTCTTATCTGTCTCAATTTTAGCGTTATCTTAAATTAAGATACTTACCCTGGCATCAATGGCGGAGACAGAAACACGGTAATAGAAAACAACGAAATATTAGATTTTTTTAACCACATTTATTTTTTCAATCACAAAATAAACTTTGACAAATTTTGTAAGTCGTTAAGAATGGAATTTATCGATTTTATCTCACGATAATTTCTTTAAAAAAAATACGAATAAAAATCCCGATAATCGAACAAGAAATCGTGGTTATCGACTGTCGAATCAGATTTAGGTTATCGATACATCAGATATACATGTACGAGGTGCTGTAATCAAGTCCGTTAGATAACTCGTGGCTAGTAACGTATATATACAATATCGCTAGGTGTCGCTGGATAAGAATTGGTATTTTTGGCAAGGAATTCGGAGGGAAACCAACAACGTGATTCAAAATATCGAAGATAAGGTGGATCAGTTTAATATTTCGAAGCTACTGTCTTTTCAGACCTCGTGGAGGAGTAGGGTCAGAACCTCCGCAGAGTAGCGACAGCGATGAATTCTCGACGACGCATACCCAACAACAAAGTCATGGGTATGGTCAAGGACAGGTGGATGTCTACAACTTGCCCAAAGTCCAGGTGTCGGGACCATCAAACAATGATGAATCCTCTTCCGTCGTCAATGGGTAAGTCCGATGTTTTTATTCTTTTATTTCTGACGATGATTGCACGCCATTTATGATCGTCGATATGGAAGGTTAGTGTATTGTAATAGCGTGTCATATTTCTAAGAATGCATAATTAAATTACATGTGGTACTATATGCAATTGCGTATATTGTTGTGTTTTTGAAAATGTATTTATAATATTATTAAGTATAGTAGGCTAATAACCTAGACCAAGCATTTTTTTATTCTAGTTTTTATAGAATTTTTTACATGTAGGAAATTTGAATTTATCATTAAAATATTTTTTCCTCATTCTTTGAACTCGACACTTTCAGAAGCTGTAAATAAATGGTACTATAATCAAATTAGGAACTATTGCAAGTATCATTCCAAATAAATTAGAAATTATTAAAAATAGCATTGGAAATAAATTAGGAACTATTATAAATAGCATATTAGATTAGGAAATATTACATCTAGTATTATAAATAAATTAGGCACAATCGCAGATAGAATTCTAAATAAATTTGCAATTTATTGCAAAAACTAAAGTAGTTGGACATGGTGAAGTATAAAAATTCAGGGAAAATTTCGGCTAGGTAACTTCGAGCCTCTGTAGTTGAAAAAAGGAACACGTCCCTGGAGCTAGGCTACTCTAGGAACATACGAAATTTGCATTGCAGAGTCAACCGTAGGAGTCTAAAACTTTCTACTGTATGGTTCATCACTTGTCTGACTTTTCTCGTAAACGAACTCACGTTCTATCTCTGGATTCACACGGATAGTCTTACAAGACTGTTGCTAGTGTATCCTCTTAACATATCGATCGTCAGAAACATTATATTTAGTACATGGGATGTAAATTAAAGCAAACTCTACGTATACCGACTGCCTTTAAGCAACACCGTTTGTTCCTCTTCAATTCATTTTTTCGAATGCGTTTAATATTCTGCGAGGTTGAGTATTGAGGCAAACTCTTTCATCCTCGGATAACAGATTGCAGATGTTAGGTATAATTTACAAATATATTCTCGATTCGATAACTTTTTCTAAATGGCATCAATCATCAAATCCACAATATGTACTCTATTAGTAGTGTATGTATTCTGAATTTCGAATAAATTATTTTCTATGAAAATTTATTTCTGACACACAAATGACAAGATAATAACAAACATTCTGAGAATCTCGAATTATAATTATATAATTTTATTTTTCAAAAATTATTCAAAAGAAGTCGAAGAAAGAAACAATGCACAAGTGCCAACACACGTAAAAGAGCGTAGAGTAATTTTGAAACACGATGTAAACGACACGTGAAACTTTCTGGTACGTATACCTCAATTAAAAGAACATTAAGTTAAACTCACAACGATACATCGAATTATTTTTCTCTAAACATTCTTAGGATCACTTGGCAACGAATTTCGACGATACACCTATGCTTGACCTCGCAACAATTCGCACAAGAGGAAGCAACACGTATTCTTCAGTAATACTAGTCGATAAGTGACTCTCCTATACGTTCTAATTGGACCACCGTGTATATCAATTCGATACCATGTCATCGATAACGTTTGAAATAAACACGCCAGGCTACAACGTGTTTTCGATACGTCTTATCACGTGGTACGTTGACGTTGATACGATTCGTTGATTCTGCATCACGAGACGATAATATTTTTAGCACCACCTATGCCAGCTTAATATCGAGGCATAAATCATTTCTTTGATAAGGAAAACGCGAGAGTTCTCTCTGGTTCTCTTTGCTTCTCTTTGCTTCCTTTTGGTTCTCTTCGATTCTCTGCGATTACATAATTCCACAGCGCAAAGTTCCATCGAAGTGTTTACGTTTCTCATGTAATGATTTATTTCCCAACCGTCGAGAAACGAGCAAGTAATTTCGATGAAACGCTCATTCGATGAACCACGGTAACGATTTGCTTGAAAATTCGACCGATGGAAATGTACCTTGTCTGTTATGGAAATTTTTGAGAGCCTGAGTTACTTGGACGTTAAACGTTAGAAACGTTAATAATTCTGGTATTTCTGAGGAAAATTAATTATTAGTTTGTTAATTTTTCAGTCGAAATTCTCCGAGTGTATGGCGATGGTTTTAAATAGGGTCTGCGAAGTTCAGAAATCATGTTAGATTTTATGTATCGTGATAGAAGTTTCGATGGTGTGCTATTAGCTTCCCTCATTTGCGAAACGATGCTTTTATGATAATCCGCCCTTGCGAAATTATATTAACGAATTTTGTTAGTTGTGCGATGATCAGGTAATTAATCGCGATTATGGGTATTTGCTCGGCGCGTAATTGGTAATTCGAGTAAACTAAGACGTAAGTTCACGTGAGATAAAGATCTCATGCTCTAGGTACGATTACGATGTGACTGAACTTAATTGGAGTACCTTTTCTGATATAGCTAATCGATAAGCAGTCCACTAATTACTTCGCGTAGTATTAGAAAATTAGTTTTAGAAATGATAGCCTTAAACCTGCATATAGATTTACGATATAAAATTTTATTTTAATCACTTCGACAATTATTTGTGAGTTATTCGCTATGAAAAAAAGTGTGAAACAAAGACCAAATAATTTCAAGAACGTACACAAGAGAGATTCCATTTTTATGTTGATTTTATCTATGCCAGACTTTGAAGGTAGTCTTTAATTTTTTAAACCAACGTTTCGCATCTTTTTTTTATTAAATATCGAAGCATAATAGATTTAAAATGATAATTTGATTATAATTATATTCGAATCATTTGGTTGCTTTATTCTTAATGAAATTTCAGTTATAAATAATTTAACGAGTATCTAATTTGCATCTATCATAATGTATTAATATTTCTGTAGTTAATAACTTCATTCAGTATTTGATAAAAAAACGATTGTAGGTTATTTTTAAAATAGGATACGTAATTAGCGTAGAAATAAGAATAACCATAGCATACGAGTTCATTAAAATCATATAACTTTTATATTGTCCTTATGACAAAGAGTTTACGATTCGATACAGTATTTCTGTTTATAAAATAAAATACTTTTCATGTAATCGAATTGAAATCTAGAAAAGGTCAGTTTTATTACATATTTATTTGTTGACATTCGATACGCATTATCGATAAGATCATCACGAGTGCCATGACTCTTCTTCAAAATCGTGTATCGAGAAAGCAAGCTAAATAGCAAGTCCACTACCGCGCCCTCGCGTCAGAAAGAGAAACGACACCGTGGCGGGACTTTTTTAAAAACGATACCAGCTCGTACACCGTAACACATCGAAGAAGCGATTTTCTATTAGTAAGAAGCCAGCAGGATTGGCCTCTTATTTTTAGATTAGCTTTCATACGTCCAAGGTCGTAGCATCTGTCGATCTATAAATACTTCCTTGGAAAAATTCCTTTTATTCGATATATCGATTCTCGCTAAGCGCCTGTCCGAACTTATGAATCATTTAACGTCTCTCAACTTCCAATCCTAAGAATGTAAATGAAACGTCGTCCACGAGAGATGTATGGACCATGTTCGAGATTTCGCCGCGATTTCTGGATTCTTTGGATATTTACACGTTGAAACCTTACGCTTTCGTGCAAACATTCGCTGTTTCCCGTGCGACGCAAAAATGTCATCCTCCTTATCGCAAAGCGGATAAAGCTACACGTCGGAAAGGGCAAACTCGCTTTCAACGAGAATACAGAGCTTTTTTCTCTTAATACGCTTTACAAACCGATCGAGGAAATATACCGTTCCCTGTTTATATGGTATTTGGGTTACTCAGCTCTTAGGCACGAATTATCGAGGACAGACCGATATGTGGTCGCAACATTGTTGGAGTAGTCTCGGTCGATTATCAGTGACCATCTACGATATCTCGACATCGTTTGGAAAAGACGATTTAACTGGTTGATGGTACTAATTTGTAGATTTAATACGTTTTAAATTTATCCGGTGTTCTATCACTGATTTTCTCTGACGTTTTATTACGACATACCAATCAGTCACGAACTTCTTCAGATGTTTATATTAGCATAAATCATCATATTTTATAATTTATAGAGTGCTTAATGTATACATCTTTTTTACCTAGGTTGCCAAGTGACTAGGTAGTTAGACCAAAGTATCTAGATAAACATCATGATAAGCAAACTATTTTCCAAGTTTTTTAGAATGTGTTACTGTATTTAATTTGGTTTCGAATCTTCGAATAACATTAACCCATTTGCATCAGAAACGCATATACGTGCGAAATTTTTCTGGATATATAAATGTATAACTTAATTGATCTAAATAAAATTAAATTATAAATTCTTTCTATATAATGTCATTTTTTTTTCGCATTTTTATCATTTTGAAATATTCCTATCTTCATAGAATAACAAAAATTTTGGTGATATGGGCCAATTTCCACTTTTTCGAATGATGTAAATGGGTTAATCACTGTTTCGTAAGATCTCGATCATAAAGGTCAATAACCTTCGTGCTATTCATAGTGTGCCTGTGTGCATGGTGTACACGATAAACCACAGTGTACCAATAAACCACAGTACACAATAAACCTGTACTCTAGGCATACATAGAATCCTATTACCCATACAAAATTCTTTCGAATCGGAACGAGGTGGCTGATAATTATCGGGCAATAATCGCATTCCAACCGTTCGATATTAATCGTTACTCGATATTAACGCCAATATATGCTACGATCGACGAAATAACAGAAAGGCTTGTTTAGTATCATGATTTTCCAGTCGAACAGGTTCAAAAGGTTAATCACGAAATTCTTATCTCGTGCACAGACCCGATCAGCGTAAACACAATGGAGTTATAAATTACTGTGGCATGCTGAACGCGCACGAGACGCAGAATTTTCCAGCAGATCGCGTGTGACAAACGATTTTAATTACTATCGATCATCACGATTTCGCAACACGATCGATAACAGAAGTCGAACACGCAGGTTTCCCGTATGCAAGACACGCCCGCATCCTGTGTATCGTTTCCCTCGCGT